CCCATTGTTTCTGTCGTCTCTCACTGATAGCTACATCTTATCAACTGACCCACAGCTTTTTTGTAAAGACAAACTCATAATTCCTCTCATTTGCCTTACTCTTTTTAATTATCTCAAGTTTCACTGGTGGAAAAGACTGGTTTTTTGGTAGCAGTGCAGTTACTGGGAGCAAGGAGAGGATCTTCAAGATTTCTGGCAACAATGCAGCTTTCTGAACTTCTTTATCATCCTGTCAGTTTCCTATTGCTTCCTCTGAGCACTGTGCCTGCTGCTCCTTGATGTGTATTATCACCACCCATTTTGGTAAGTTCACTTCTTCCAATAGGTGGGAGACAAAATTCTCAAGAGCCAACATCTTTCCCCTGCAAGCTAATAAACTCTTTTTTTTTTTTTTTTTTTTTTTTTTTTTAGTTTTTTAGTTTTTCAAATGCTTCTATTACTTCATATGCATATTTAGAATCAATAGAAACGTTTACTCTCTTGTCCACTGTCTGAGCTGACCAGGTGGGCAGTAACCGCCTCCTTTTTTTTAAATTGCTTTCTATTGATGATAGAGTATCTTGTAAATAGTTTCTCTTCTAGCACTCTTGAAGACTCATTAATAAACACATTTTCTCCCTCAGGCCAGGGACTATCTCATAAATCTTCTCTCATTTGCATCTGGAGATTTACTACCTGAATGCAGTCATGGGTTTCTTCCTGTCCCCCCTCTTCAGGGCTGTTCAAACAGGAGGCTGGGTTAAACCTTTTCCTAATTTTAAATTCTAAATCCTCTGGTTCCATTAAACAAGACTCATACTGGAATAACTGAGCACTGGTCATCTACTTAGAGGGTCTCTTAGTTAACAAAGCTTTAATCTGATGTGAAACTTTTACAATCAGATACCTTCCCCCTTGTCAGCTTTCAGGCTCTAGCCATGATCAGAGCTGTGGCTGCACAGTTTTGCAGACAAAGGGGCCAGCCTCTGGCCACCGGCTCTAAGGGCTTGGGAAAATAGGCAACAGGCCTCCGTGTTCCCCCATGCTCTTGCACCAAAATTCTTTTAGCATCACCCTGTTTTACATTCACATATAGTTCAAATTCTTTTTTTGAGTCAGGAAGGGCTGAGACTGCGGCATTAACCAATTTGTATTTTAATTCTCTAAAGCTTTGCTCTCCTTCTGGTGTCCATAGGATGACATTAGGATTGTCTTGGGTTAAAAAGAAATATAAAGGTCTGGCCACAACAGAAAAATCTTCAGTCTATACTCTGCACTACCCCAATAACCCTAAAAACTGCTGTAACTCTTTTTTCGGCTGGGCTAATGGTACCAGTAAAATCTCTTGTATTCTTTCTGGATCAATATACGTAACATTCCAGTCAGAATACGTCCTCAACATTTGACCTTTTTTTCTACTAACTGTCTTTTTTTTTTTGGACACTCAAGTCTTTTATAGCAAGAAAATTAAGCAGCTTTACAGTAGCCTCTTCAACTACCTTTTCCTGTTTCCCTGATAAAAGCAAATCATCCACATACTGTAACAACCTAACTCCTGAGGCTGGAGTAAACTCTTCTCATATTTTCTGCAAAGCTTTCCCAAACAAAACCGGTGACTCTGGATATCCCTGCAGGAGCACTGTCGATGTCAATTGTTGCTTCCCTATTTTCTTTCCTTCCTCTTGTTCCCACTCACAGGCAAAATACTCCTTACTGTCTTCTGCAATTGGACTCCTCTAGAAAGCATCCTTCAAATCCAGGACTGAATAATACTGATGTGAAGAAGGGATCTGGTTCAGGATTGTATAGGGGATCTGGAACTGTGGCATGCCTTGATCTGACAATTTCATTTATTATTTTTAAATCTTGCACTATCTTGTAGGTTCTAGCTGGTGCTTTAACCAGCAGGATAGGGGTGTTGTAGGGAGACATACACGGCCCTAAAAGACCTGCTTGTAGCGGGGACTCAATGACAGGCTGTAACCCCTTCTTTCCCTCCCTTGAAAGAGGGCATTGCTTTTTAGACACCACTTGTCCTGGTTGCTCCAAAGTCATTTGGAGAGGCTCTGTGTCACGTTTCCTGTATTTCTTTGGGTCTCACCACACGTCCAGGTTTATTTTAGCATAAGCCTTTTCAGACATTTTCCACAAAGATATTACAGTGTTGGACTCCGTGTCATTTTTTATAATCCTAATTTGCATTTTCACTTTAGCCATCAAATCTTTTCCTCTTAAATTACAATCACAATTAGGAAGAAAGAGGAATTTATGCATTTTAAACCTGTCCTCCACATCTACTAAGAGAGGTTGAATAAAATGCACCGCTTGATCCTTTCCACTCATTCCTTGAATAACTAATGATCTTTTTGGCAGTTTCTGCCCATTAGATATCTTAAAAACGAGATTCACTTAATAAATTATAAAAAGAATTTAATATAAACAAAAGACAATTAGGAGACAAAAGAAATAAAGCAAAGGGTTAAAATGGCCAAGTGCCCTGGTGGGTTGCCAGGAACACACCTGGTATTTTGGGGAACCCTCTTTTTATCCCCCCTTGCTGTGAAGGTTTAATTCATATTCAAAGCATCCCCTCTTAGATCATGCTTTTGTACAATTTTTATTTTCTGCTGGTCAGCATTTATTTTTGCTGGTCATCATTATTCTTGCAGATGAGCATTATTTTGGAGTTTGGTTTCCTTTCTTTTACACATGGTCACTTGTTGATGACAGTCCAGACCCTTCATCCTTCCCCTGAGGGCAGCTGGTCTTCATATCTTCCGCTGATAACAGTTTGGGTTCTATTGTTCTCCTGATAACAACTTGGGCCCCAGTGTCCTTGCCCTCTGGGGTTTCCTTGCCTTGTACTCAGGAAATTCTTTTAAACCTAAGGCTTGTTAGCAAAAAAGTACATACATAGCTAAAAAGTATTTAATATATAATATTCATCTGCGAAAGCCAATATCACAATACAAATTTATAACAGCTGGAAAAAAAGAACCCTGGCAGTTTGCATAAGCTAGGAAGGGAAGAGATTCTTTTCAATGGGCTCCAGCTCTGCTCCTTGTTTGAATTAAAAGCAGAGCCAAACTCTTCTGTTGGTCACATCAAGCCAACATAAGTTTGAACAGTCTGTGAAAGACAGAAGAACGTAAAAATTATTTCATTTTATAGTACTTACAGTCTTGTAATTCTGCCATGGGCTAATTCTGCCATAATTCGCTGTATCAAATAACTGGAAAAAGAACTGGAGAAGAAGATTTTTTAAAAAAAGGTAAAAAAAGGTGACTTAATTTCCTCCATGTTCTAAGTGCATATTATTGGCTTTTCACAAATATTAAAATAAATGTTATATGTGTAAGGTTAGAAAACTTTGTGCGTTAATATAGGTTCTTTTATTTGTTATTGATGAAACTTAGAAATACTGGTATAATACATATAGATGTTAGGCTATAACATGATATTTAAGCACAAACTACTTTTGTTTATATAACCCAGAGACTGAAAAGATAGTCAGAGACCCCCCTGCATTCTTAGATTACTTTGGCCAGAGGAAGACAGCAGTCCTCCAAACCCTCCAAGAGAGGAATTTATTGCACCCGTTATAGGAGAGGGTAAAACCCAGTGGCACCAAGAGATTGATCTCTTGAGAAGAGGGGAAGTTAAAAACTAAACAAAAGAACATCTAAAAGTTAGGAAGAATGTCTGAATTCTGTATGAGAATTTATGACTATGTAGTAGGGTTCTGCTTTTAAGGGACAATCCTTTGTTAACAAAGTGTGCTCTCTTAGCTGAACGCAGAGACACCTGGCCACATCTGTATATTTTACTTTACCTCCTACTTGTCTTTCTATTAGACTTTTAAATTCTATTTTAAAAAATGTGTACCTCATTTTTCACAAAACACAAAGCTATGTAGTAAAAATATAGTAATTTACACTTTTCAAAGCCCTTTGACACTGGAGCCCTGCAGCCTAGTCACGGGCACCGTCTCCATCTACTGAAGACGTGCAAGCAGTGCCGGTCTGTCGGCACGTCCCAGCCGTGGCTCCTGCCGGCGGCCCCGGGGTAGGAGCGGCCCCGGCGCTGCCATGGCGGGCTTTCCCTCAGGTGTGGGCGCCTCCAGCCCGGCCCGGCCGGGAGGCCCTGGCAGTGCCACGCCGCACGGCAGCTCTGGCACTGCAGCCTCGGCCAGCCTCGGCCAGCAGCGAGATCTGCGGGCCGGGGCCCAGCAGCGGCCGCACGCTTCTCCCAGAGCCCAAGCAAGAGCCGCACGGCTCCCGAGCGCAGGCCGGGAAC